AGCAATATGATATGATAAAGGTTTGAACCCGTGCGGGGAAGCATTGGCAACATTGTGGTGCAAGAGACCCTCCCAGATGACATAACCGTGGCAGGTCAGCATATGTCAAAGAGGACCCCCAAAAGACCCCCATAGAGCAAAAACGGCTCCAGGTCAACCTGTTCAACCGACGGTTCGACGAGTCATATAACAAATGTTCCCGCCCTCCTCGCACCCCCGAGAGGCATCCAGGGCGGCTGTCGCATTGTGTGTCTCTACGCTGCCCTCCTCAAGGCACCTCACCCGGCGATCGTGCCTGGATGGGGAATGGACGGAGCGTCAAGAGTTCGGCCAACATGCAGCGCCTCCCTGTCGGCGACGGGGCCCCAGTACAACACTGTCAGCGACGTGCGCCCGCGACCAAACGAGGAGACCCCCGAGGTGCCCGTTAGGCCGCGGGGGCCCCAGAACGATGCTCTGCTCAAGCATCATGTCGCTCAAATCTCGGGCGGAAGCGCCCTCTCGAGCTCGATCCCTCTGGTTTCGAATTCCAGTCGAGATCGTTTTCCGGAGGACGTCTCAAGCGAAAACCAAAATTCCGAAATCTCTGGTAAGACATCTCACGGTTTAAATGCCAGACGGTGCACCAGTTCGAAACGACGGTTTCGCGTGAGACTTCCCCACCAAACACTTTCGAGCGATTTCGGGACTTTCGGGTTCGATGCCGAAGCGTCGTTCACGCCCAAAACCTCTTCAAACTAGAATTTGAAACTTGTCAGATTCGATGTCGACATGGTGCTCCCGTTCAGGACTTCCTCCGAAACAGAATTCAGAATCTTTCGGATCCGATTTCGAAATACAGTTCCTGCCTAAGACGTCCTGGCAACAGTCTGGTTCGAAAAGGCGTTCCCACCCAGAACTTCCTCGAACATAAAGGTCGGCACTTCGTTAAGCCTTGCCTTGGTGGAAGCACGCACGAAGCGGATCAACACTTTCGTAGCGCCGACGTATGTGGTACAATATGTGCGGTTCAACGTACGTTGTGCAATTTAAGTGGTGCAGTCTATGTTGTGCAACTGAGTTTTACCCATGATTTGACACAGCAACCGCTCTTGCAAACATCCCACCCACCCACCCGCAACTTGGTTTGCAAAACCTCTTAAGACCGACTACGACGACACCGACGACAACGACTACGACGACACCGACGACGTCTCCGACGACTTCGACGACGACAACGACGCCGACGCCGACGACGACGAAGACGACGACGACGACGCCAACGAAGACGACGACGAGGGAGGAGGGAGGACGACGACGACAACGACGACGACGACAACGACGAGGGAGGAGGGAGGACGGCGACGACACGAACGACGAAGAAGGAGGAAGGACGGCGACGCCGACGACGACTCGAACGACGAGGGAGGAGGGATGACGACGACGACAACGACGACGACGACGAAACAGGAGGGACGACGACGAGACGCCGACGACGGACGACGACGACGACGAGGGAGGAGGAGGAAGGACGACCACGGCGACAACGACGACGGAAACGACTACGATGCCAAAGAGGACGACGACGAAAAACACGAGGAAAGACAGAGGACGACGTGGGCGACGACGACGAGGACGACGCGGGAGGAGGGAGGACGGCGACGACGACGACGACGTCGCAAGAGCGCGCGCGCGCACGCGTTTTTGTAGGTTTGTTGGACACACGATTTTGACATCCTTCCGAAACCGATGGGTTTGGAACGTTTTCGGCATACGCGCGCGACGACGCGCGCGTCTGCACTTCGTCCTGTTTTCTGCAGAGGATTCTCGCGACGGCACACTCGCAAGGGCGTTCGACAGATTTCGACATGCGCGCGCGCGAAACCCGTTTGGTAGCATTTTGTCCAAATCTTGAGAAACCTATGGTTTTCTTAAGATTTCGCAGAAGAGCTCGCGCGGAAGCTTTTTTAGCAAATCAGTGTTGCGAAACCCTGTGTTTTTGTATGTTTTTGGGGAACTCGATTGCGAAATCCTTCCGGCACCGAGGGTCTTTTAAGGATTGTGGCATGCGCGCGCGACGACGCGCGCGTGCGCACTTCGTCCTATGTTTTGCTAGGGATTCGCGAAAAAGTGCTATGTTAGAACAAAAATGTCACCGCATAGTGTTTTCACAAGGGAACCTCAGGGGGGGGGACCCGGCCCCCGTGGGATAGTGTAAATTCATATTTCGGATGGACATGTGGCCAGAATCATATATGATCTACGTACCCGAAAAGGGGACCGATAACGCCTGGGGGGGGTAAAGTCTATTCTCTTTCTAGAAAAGAGAAGATATGTGGTGCAGAATAGGTGGTGCAATATACAAGGTGCAATTTACCCTGCCGAACTTGAAATTGTCAACTCCACTCCTCGCGCAAACATCCCACCCACCCACCCGCAACGTGGCTTGCAAAACGCATGCGGCGGCAATTGCGATGCCTGCTCGACGCTGGCTGGCGCATCGCCGCGGCCGCGCTAGAACGCATGCTCGGGCGCATAGCGGCCAAGTAGTTTGGCGCGACCGACGCGGCCGCGGTGGCGCTGACTACGTGGCGCTTCCCAGCGGGCACGTCTGTGCGAGTCGGCGAATTGGGCGGGCGCGGTATCATGGCAACGTCGACACCGATAGTCGCGATGATACTGGCGATGCTAATGACGATGATACAACGACGACGGCACGGCCTGTGACGGCACCGATGCTGATCACGCCCGCGACGATGATGGTGTCCTCGCGACAGTGATGAAGGTTTTGAAGGCGTTCGCCATGCGTTCGCGGCTGACGCGCGAGTGCGGCCCGCATGGTACTATCTCACACGGATCGTGCCCCAACGGCGCTCGAATGATTTCGCCATGCGATGCGAGAGGCCCGCTTGGCAGAATGTGATGGACATGCAGTAACACTGATGGTATTCTTAAGAATTCGCAAGGCCGCGAGCGCAAGCTTTGTTTGAAAATTGATGCTGCAAAACTATGCATTTTTATCATATGGTTTCGGGGCACTCGGTTTTGAAATCCTTGTAACACCTCAGGTTGGTGAAGGATTCCGGCTTGCGCGGGCGACGACGCGCGCGTGTGCACTTCGTCCCGCTGTTTGCAAAGGATTCGTGGGACAGCCCTGGCGCAAGGGCGTTCTTGCGATGCCGACATGCGGTCGAGAGAGGCCCGCTTGGTAGCAAGCTACAAGCATGTTGAAAAAACCGACGGCCTTCTTCAGAATCCGCAAGAGCCCGACCGCAAGCTGTTTGTGAAAATCCGTGTTGGGAAACCATATGCTTTCATATGTTCTCGGAACACTAAGGTTGTTGGAAGACTTGTTGGGACACCTAAGGTTGTGGAAATATTTCAGCATGCGCACGCGACGACGCGCGCGTTAGCATGTCGTCAACGCTTTGCTAAAATGGGGCTTAGGAAAACTTCTCATTTTCGATAAACGAGTGCGCGAAAATAGCATTCAGGGCGTAGGATGAGGGGGGGTCGACTTCGGCTTTCCGGCATGGGATGAATTCATATTTCGGATGGGCGGTGGGGCAAAATCAGGTGCCAATTGCAATACGAAAAAAAGAACCGTTAGTTTCGTGGGGTAGATCCGAATACTCTATGTAGTGTGTAACACATGTTTTAGAATCTGTGGTGTGCAGTCTATGTGGGCGGTGACGAGGCGGCGCCGGGACGGCGACGGCGCAACATAGCCACCAGACCGGCAGACGGGCCCACGCGAAGGGCGGCGACCAGGCAACGACGGGACGGCGACGGCGGCACCATAGCCACCAGAGTGGCAGACAGGCCCAGACGACGGGCGGCGACGGGGCAGCGACGGGACGGCGACGGCGGCACCATAGCCGCCAGAACGCTAGACAGGCCCAGACGACGGGCGGCGACGAGGCGGCGAAGGAGCGGCGACGGCGGCACCAAAGCCGCGCGGCAACATAGCCACCAGAGCGACACAAACAACAATTCGAATAAGAACCCCAAACGGAAGCACTGCTAACGGACAAAAAGGCGCTCAGATAGAACCGCGAGGCTCCACGGTCAACATACGATGGACAGCAAGAACCGGGCATTATGAATTATTCCTGAAGAGCCTCATCAATCGCTGCTTGCCGAAGCCATTTCGTAAAGCAAGGAACGTCCTGCCACAAACGACTCCAGAGGGGACAACGCTTCCTCGAACGCACACAGCTTCCAAACGGAGCTCTGCTCAAGACTAGCAGGCCTGGACTGACGGTCTTCAATTAGGACTGCAAGACAGATCTCCAACGCTAGAATCGAGCTGAGGCCACTCGAACAAACGAATGCCGCAATGGACTGTGCCAGCCGATTCTGCCTCGGGCACGCCCGTGTGGGGAAGAAGGGGGGCACGTGAGAAGGAAGAGGGGCCGCGCAAGCGGACAGACGAGCGGCAGGACGAGCAGGAGGTGAGCTTCGCCTGCTTTTCGACAGTCTGGCCCGAGCACATGCCAGGACCATCTACCACCCGTGGCCAGACTCGCTGCAGAGCACGCCGACCGGCCACGCACGTCCTGGGAACGACAGGCCGTGCCCCGACACTCTCTGTCTTTCGGGCGCCTGTCCTGCTCCGGTGGCCAAGCGTTCCAGAGACCACGGCAAGTAAACAACCGTAGTACACCAGAGAGAAGCCCAATCAGTGGATGGTTTTCGCTGCTCCTAAAGGGATCGATCGACCGGGAACCCGGGAGCCCGGGAGCCCAAAACCCACCGAAATCAGGCCGGAACCAATGACAGGGAACCCGGGAACCCAGAACCGGGAACCAGGGAACCCAGCGTGCGACTAAAATCGGCGGGAGACTTCCGCCAAATCTTTCAACCTCCGCGAGGACCCCTTCAGTGCAAGCGCTGATTGTGGAAAATGCCCACGCACTCGGCATTGCGTCTCTCCGCCCCATGCGCACCGAGCAGCGGCGCATCCGATCGACATCCAGCCTCCCGCGTTCCTTCTCCCACGGGCAGCAGGCGGCGGCTGCCTTGCTCGGCGCGGCCAGGAAGCCGACCGACTGGTGGCATATGGTGGCGACCTCAGTGCGCATCGCCATCCAAGATTGTCAGGTATGAAGGGGCCCTGGGACACACAAATAAATAGACACAGATAACAGGATTCACCATATTTTCTCATATTTTCTGGGCTTTTGTCTTCCCCCCCACTTCCCATGTGTTCCCATATTTTCTGGGGAATCGACGATTCATTGTATCTCACCATGTCAAGGCCGTCGGGTTCGGATAGCCTCAACTGGAATCATCGCGCGCACGCTTCTTCACGCGCAATCGAATTTTATCGAGCTTGAGCGCCAGGGCGTAGCGCGGAGGAGGGGCCGTGTCAGGTCAATCCCGAATCGCACGGTGTTGATGGCGTCTTAGGGTCATCTTGGCGCCTTTGTCAACGCATGCCAAAGGGCTACTCCCACCGAACAATTCGAGATCCAAGGACTCGTCAAGAGGCAATGAATTCCGCAGGCCATGAGTTGGTTTCAATGATTGACGGGTCTTCTTGACATACGTTTGTGACCTCTTGAAATGGAGGAGGCAAGGAGGAAGACAACCTATCAGAAGGAGGGGCATGGGGGAAGGAATGCTGAGGATGGAAAAGTGAGAAGGAGAATAATGATGAGAAGCATGCGCATACCGCGATTCCCCACTGTGCAAAGAAGCGCACGTGGCCAAATGTTGTGGAAACGCAATGCGCGTGTGGGCGACAATTGATTTACAACGCGCTCAACTGTGGTTGAATTCTAAGGGCCTGCCTGGGCAGTCTCGAGGCTGCCTCGGGGCGTTCGGCGGGCCCTCTTGGCCCGTCTTGAAGGCCTTCTCGGACTCTCTTGGGCTGTCTTGGTATCATCTTGGGCCGTCTTGGGGCAATATTGGGCCGTCTGCAGCCCCTCGAGGCCGTCTTGAGGGCCGCATAGGGGTTCCTCCTCTGGCCATCGCTCGGACGTCCATTCCCTGTGTTTTTTTCGGTTTCGTGCGAGGTTTCTTCGCCAAGTGATCAAGGATGCTCCTCAAAGGTCCTCGCCGAAAGAAAAATGCACACGTCCGAGCGATGCCAAGTCCTGGAGACCTCTGGGCGCTCTCTTGGGCCTGTCCCGGGGTCCTGGTGGGCCGCTGTGGACCACTCTTGGCCAATCGTGGGGCCAGCTGGAGATCTTCGCGGGGCTGGGACTGATCGTGGGAGCCTCTCTGGCCATCGCTCGGACGTCCATTTCCTGTGTTTTTTGTCGGTTTCGTGCGTGGCTTTTTCGCCAAATGATCAAGGATGCTCCTCGATGGTCCTCGCCGAAAGAACAATGCACACGTCCGAGCGATGCCGAGCTCTTGAGCCGTCGCCACACAAAGCTTCAAGCAGGCAAGGAAGCCTGAGAACGATCAATGATTTGGGCATCTCGGTGGCCTCGTGGGGGCTTTCTTGGACCGTTCAGGGGGCGTCTGGGGAACCTCCGGAGCAGCGTTGGAGCACTGCATTGTTCGGGTGTTGCTAGAGGTGCGCCCGATGTCTTGAACTAGAGATCAACCCCACTCGGGCGTCTCACTCTGCTAGGCCCACTCGGGCCGACCGCCTTCTTGGCGTCCTCTGCAGTGACCCCGGGATCCCAATGACCTCACCGCACGGCCCGTCACCGCACGGCCTCGGGTCCTCGAAGGCCCCCCTCGCCCAAGACTTAAGTCGGGCGTGTCCCCCAACAGGGGGATTTTGGACGAACAAACAAATCAAAAAATGTTCAAAAGATGCCCCAAAATACTAAAAAAATAGTCCCCAGACTATTCTTTGACTATTTTTGAATATTCCTCCTGTAGAGGGACAGGCCCGACTTAACCCGAGACATCCTCGGGAAAGACGACCCCGGTCCCGCATCCGTGCGGTCGCCCCGCATTCCCACCGCCTCGCCCCACGGTGTGGTCACCGCGCCGCCCTGCGACGCCCTCGAGGAACTCTGGGCCCCCCTCGTGGTCGCGGGGCCCCCCCCGGTCGCCGGGGCGACGGCCCTGGCAAGGCCGCCCCGACGCCCGACCCCCGCAAGGGAACAGGAACAGGAGAGGCCCTCGGGCGCTGCACCTCGCAGGGCTGCCCTCAGGCCAGGAAGAGGAGCCCGCCCCCCGCTCCTGCTCGCACGACGCCCTGCCCACGGCCCTCCTCCTCCTCCTCCTCCTCCTCCTCCTCCTCCCCCTCCTCCTCCTCCCTCCTCCTCTCCTCCTCCCCCTCCTCCTCCCCCTCCTCCTCCTCCTCCTCCTCCTCCTCCTCCTCCTCCTCCTCCTCCTCCTCCTCCTGCAGAGGAGAGAAGCATGGCTTGCCGTCGAAGCGCGGCAGGGGCAGCCCGCACGCGCGGCCGAGTGGCGCCGCCACCGAGGAGGCGCACGGCCCGCCGCCACTCTAGAGGACCCACCGGCCAGGGGTTCGAGCCCTGGGCGGCGGCATGCCCGCGCGCCGCCCAGCACTCGGGACGCCCGAAATGGGTACGGAACAAATGGGTACAATGCCCAACAACAAATGTCGTCCCGAACCCACAGCGGCCGCTGTTGGGCAGGTGGCCTTCTGTCTCGAATGGACACAGGCCGCGGCGGCGTGGACAGCGAACCCTGTTCAAAATGAACAGGAACTGCTGGACATTGTACACATTCTTTCCGTGCCCGTTTCGGGCATCCAGAGGCACGGGAGGACGCGCAGGCTGGCCGGCGCCCTGGGGCCAGTCGCCACCACGGTGCTGAGCAGGGACAGACCGTCCCAAGCCTTCCCATGGGCCTTCCAATTGAGTCGGGCACGTCCCCCCACAGAGGGATGTTGGGCAACAAATGAAACTGACCTCCCCAATATCCTAGAAATGTTCGACCTATTAAAAAATAGTCTCCCGACAATTTGCTTTACTATGCTTGAGTGTTCCTCCTGTAGAGCGACAGGCCCGACTTAAGCCTACCACGGAATATTCTTAGAACCCCAAAATGTTCTAAGAAAAAGGAGCCCTGCTCTCAGAACAGAAGCCCGACGTGTTAAACCACGACAGACTCCGCCAAAACTGCTCTGAGAACAAGCCGTGCAGACCACGGAAAGGTTCTCAGAAAACTCTCTCGAACGGGCCTACAGGCGAGCCAGGACGCTTCGCCGCTGCTTGACGATGGGCTCTCGGTGACGGTGGCATGGTGTTAAGTCGGACCTGCCCCCCTACAGGGGGATGTTCGACGAAACATTGAAAATACCTTTTGGGAATATTTTGGGGGGTATTTGGGGGGGTATGTTTGGGCTATGCCTTATGTTTGGGGGGAATAGTTTTGGGGGGGGGTGTTGGGGGGTATTTTGGGGGGTATTTTTGGCGGTATGTTGGGGGATAGTTTGGGGGGTATTTGGGGGGTATTTTTTGGGGGGAAAATGAAACATACCTTTTGGGGGGTATCTTTGGGGCTATGTTATGTTTTTCGTCGAAACCCCCCTGTATGGGGGACACGCCCGACGTAAGCGCGGCGGCCTCCTCCGACGGGTGCCGTGCCAAACGGCGGCAGAGACGCAGCGGTCGGAGAGCGCAGCCCATGCGCGGTGGTGCCCTCCGCCCGCGGACCGGCCGCGTCAAGCACTACGTCGGGCGTGTCCCCCACAGGGGGCATCCTCCCCCCTCCTCCTGCCTCCTGCCTCCTGCCTCCTCCTGAGGGGGGAGGAGGAGGAGGAGGCAGGCGGAGGGAGGAGGATGCCCCCTGTCCTCCTCCTGCCTCCTGCCTTAGGCGCCTCCTCCTCCTCCCTCCTCCTGCCTCCTGCCTCCTGCCTACTCCTCCTCCTGCCCCTCCTCCTCCTGCCTCCTGCCCTCCCCCGCGGACCGGCTGCATCAAGCTACAGGGGGGGCTTTGACGAAAAATAGCAAAAAACATTCCCCATGAATGCTCAAACAGTAGTCAAAAAATAGTCTGGGGACTTTGTTTTGAATCTGTTTTGACCTTTTTGGTGTATTTTTGGAGGTGCTTTATATTTTTCGTCGAAAATCCCCCTGTAGGGGGACACGCCCGACATAAGTCAAGCACACCCTCTCCTCTTCAGGGGCCCAGGGACACACACACACACAAATCCCAGGATTCCCCATATCTGTGCATAGCTTCTGAGATGTCGCCTTCCCCCCCCCCCCCCATCTTCTCCTGGGAGTCGACGATTACGTGTGTCTGTGTGTTTCTTTCCCTCCTGGTCCTCCTCTGGCGCATTTTTGTGCGCGACGTGGGACCTCTTGGGGGTCTCTCGACCTCTTCCTGGGGTCTCTCGACCTTTCCGAGAACGGGGGAAAAACAGCGCGATTTGTGTTCCCGCGCCTGGGTCTGAAAACGCTTCTCTGTCCGGTGGCGCGCGACCAATGGCGGGTTCAATTGAGCAGGGACCGACCGTCCCGGCATTCCTAGTCCTACCACGAAGCGTTCTTAGAACCCCCAAATGCTCTTACAACAAAACAGTGTTCTTAGATCAAAAACCCAATGTATGTTAAACCGAAACAGTCGCAGCCAGAAATGCTCTGAGAACATGTCGTGGAAACCACAGGAGGTTCTCAGAACACTGTCTGGTAGGCCTATAGGCGAGCCAAGACGCTTCGCCACTGCTTGATTCAAACATTTACGCCGGTTCGACGACACGTCGCAACCGCCGAGAAGCCCGGCGCGCCGGTAGACTCGCGGAGAGCACACATACAGACACACGGACGCCTGTACGGACACAGAGGCACAGAGACACAGAGACACAGAGACACAGAGACACAGAGGCACAGAGGCACAGAGGCACAGAGGCACAGAGACACAGAGGCACAGAGACACAGAGACACAGAGACACAGAGGCACAGAGGCACAGAGATACAGAGGCACAGAGGCACAGAGACACAGAGACACAGAGACACAGAGACACAGAGACACACACACACACACGCACACGCACACGCACACGCACACGCACACGCTCACGCACACGCACACGCACACACACCAACACACACACACGCACGCACGCACGCACGCACAC